CTTCTCCCGCGGGGTTCCGCCCACCGGTGCGCAGCCGCCGGGCACGCGTGGGGGGGCGCGGGCGTGGGGCAAGGCGGCGGCTGGGTCCGGGGCCGCTCTGCACAAGGCGGGTAACGCCTGCTCGAAGCCCCGCTCCTCGCACAGCCCGGGCTGAACCAGGTTACCCTAGGGGACGAATTCCCCCTTCAAGTGTCTATTTTGTGAAGCTGAGGCATATTTAGGAACGCTTAGTGGTTTTCAGCATTTCACGTGTCCTGCGCGCAGATCTCGCTGGCAGAGAGGACTGCGGGGCCGTTTCGGACAGCAGGTCCCGCTCCCCAGGATGGGCACACACCGCTCACGCTGCGGGCCGCTGCGAGCCACCAGGCCCACTTCGCACAAAACAGCGGGACACAACCAGCCACAAAACCCAGTTACCCAGCATGGACACTCACTGCTTTATAGTCCTTTTTCCTCCCCTGCATTTTCCTACCTCAATTCTCATTGCCTTCATGTTCAGCAACAGAAAACAGTGGTGCAGGAGTTCTAGTCCAGTCCCAGTTTGCCTCAGTCTGTCCTGTAAAATAACAAAGTTCAAGTCCTCTAGGCAGAAAGAGCATGCAACTTTAACAACACAAGGTTCACAGGTAAAGACGGCATCTTTCATTTCCAGAGGCAAACATCCTCCCTCAGTTGCAGAACAGGTAGAATCCTAATGAAAGGCCACGAAGGCTGCACCAACATTACACGTAAAGACTGCATTACAAGGCCAGGGCACCCAGCAAGAGGCACTGCTGACGGCTTGGCTTTGCGTGTGTGACTTTCTCTGCAGACAACACGTACAGCCCACAGCCTGTGTTGAAGACTACTGGCAAATGACCAATTAACTAGGGAAAAGGGAGACAAGAAAGCTGAGGTTCAGCTAGTGTGACTGAGGGAACAGAAATTAATTCCTACTGTCTTCCCTACCCCCTGGGCCAAAATTTTACTTTGTGACAAGCAGCACTAAAAGTATTTAGCATCTATGCATTTCAAATTGCTTAAAAAACAAAACAAAACAAAAGACTAAGTATCATTATTCTCCCTAAAGAATGTAGGACAGGAGCACACAAGTTGGTGCCAGACACAAAAGTCAATTAAAAGAAAATACAAGACTTTGAAGTCCAAGCCCATGCCACAAGGTTCAAAATAGTTTATTTAAAATAAAAGCATGCCCATATGACACAGACACGTCTTTGTCAGGAGGAAGAAAACAAACTGATCAAACCTACAGAGAAGGAAGGAAGGAATGGCAGGAATAACATTACAGTGTGCCAAGCTGTAGATGGCGATACAACAAGATAATAAATCTGATTTATTAGGTTTTGGAATGCTTGTATTTTATGTGACTTGTAAAAAAACTGAAAGAAAAATACAATCAGCCTCCTGTGCCACTGAAGTACTGACTATGGAAGACCAGTGAATTAATACCCCACCACACTCTTTTTAAATTTTTTGTTAATATCAGCTTTCCTCCTCTGACTTCAAAAGCAGGGGAACCACTACCAAAATATAACTCAATTACACAGGCTGCTGAAAACAGAGAGGCTCAGAGCTACATATTACAGCTCTGTTTCTGAAGTAATTTAACTCCTTGTGTCAGTGTCACAAAGAGCCACTATCCGCAAGAGTATCGTAACGAAGCCCAAGACCTCCAGGCTGAATGACCCATTTGCCATGATCAAAGAAGCTAGATTCTCCCACTGAGGTGCTGTGACTTCACACTTCCTAACAATACGGTAATGGTACAGCTTGTAACTTTTACATATTTTGCTTTCGTCAGTGATCTGCCATGGTATCCATGTGGCCAAAGGCTCTGAAACTCAAGGAGAATAAAGCAGAACAACAATAATGGAGACAAGAAACATTCAGATCTCTCATTCAGAATTTATCCTGAAGGATAAATAGGAATAAGTGAAGGATAAATAGGAATTGATCCTATTTTTTTTAACTTTCAAGACAGAACTTTCTATTTTACTATGACTAATAATTGCACAGCTATGAAACTACCAGTGGTTCTCTGAATTGCACTATTGATAGGAAGCATTAATCTTCCCTGAAGAATGGGACTCTTTCCTTGCCTTTAGTAAGATAAAGGCAAGTAAGGCGTTTTATAGAGCTTGAGAAACATTTAGAGGTATTTCTTATTTTCTCTATTAACTATTCCTAATGCTCCTTCAATTTTTGCTGATTATTTTCCCTTTTTTTGAGTCAAAGGCAGGGTTTTGGTCTACATAAACCCCTTTTTTTTTCTTCAAAGTACTGAGCCTTATTCCTTCCTCTTGTTAACTTGTCTTACACAGATGTAACATCCACAGTTCCTCTGGGATGAGGTACTGCTCAGTTCACTCTTTTGAAAGCATGCAAAGAACCAAGTCTGGTCACTTCAGTTGAAGAAATAACAGTCTTTCTGTTCATTCAATACATGACACTAGATGGATTCCTAATGAGAAAAACCTGCCCTTGTGCCACTTGTCCTCAAAAAGTATAAAGAAAAAAGGCTAGGGGAAAAGAGAAGAAAACTTGAAAGACCATGTGAGAATGCAGTTCTACAGTACCATCTAAATACTAGGATTGTCAGATCCTTTTGGGCAGACCCACTCTGGAAAGAGCGAGAGTCAGGAAATACATGGCATCCATACCTCCAGATAGAGTACATCCAAGGAAGGGTCCGATGCTGCTGTGCTATTGCTCCTCTGGCTTCATTGGGGAGGTCATGGGAGCACAAGCAACCGAGAACAGTGCAACACAGTAGGCCACTATGCTGTCCTAGGCTGGAAAAGGAGGAAACGGCAAAGTAAAAGAATTACGAACCAAGAATTCACAGAGGTAATAAGAGTCAGAGATCAACAATGTTTTTAACATCTTTTGTCAGGCTATATAGCCAGAGCCCAGATTTCAGACAATTGCTTCCTCTTCTGTACTATTGCCAGACATGCCTTAACAATGGACATGTACTTTATATTTTCTGATCAAGATCTCCCCTTTCCAACAAAAGTTAAAAAAATGCTCTAATAACCACTCCTGCAAAGGCTCTCTAGGGTGCATCGTTGGCAACACGGATGGACTCCCAGCACGCGTGCCCATGAACCCATACAGAGCAGGACCAGCATTTCAGAGCTAAGCAGGAAGACTTACGGTCACAAACACTCATGCTAACCAAAGGTCAGAACAAGATATTTTTGGATGTAGACTTTTAATCTAAATATTTAGCACAGTGCCAATGAACAATGCAATGAGCCTTAATAATTTCCATATAACATTACAACAAAGATATTTTTACTTACATGCCAATAGAAGAAGGTTTATATCCAGATTTTAAGCACACAGGGAACCTGAGTGCCTCAGTACTCAGGTAGGCTACTAGTATCCTACCTTTTGACTGCAGGGTTCAGGAAAGCCTCATGTAACTGTCAAGAATCAAAGTGGACTTCATATAAATTTTGTAAAAACTAAAATACAATTCCATTACATGAACTCCATTGAAAGCAATTTTTTATTTTTTTTTTTAAATCAGATTTCATTTGCATCACAAAACAGTTCACATTATTGCTAAAAGATACTGGTAGCTTACAATAGACTAAAAAGATACAACAAACAAAAGCAAAACTAGACTACTTGTAAAACTATACTAGGAGAAATGCAAAAGGTCAACATCATGCAGTCAAGAAAAAAGTAAGTACCCTAACAATCAAATCAAATACAAATAATTTAAGATAGCATTACAAATATATGAAAGGAAATTTTTTAAGAGACATCAGTTTATCAGCATATAACCACTGCATTCAATCGGGCTAGCACAGCTGATACCACCTGTAGTTCTCCCCCTGCCTTTTTATTTTTCTGAACACACCCGCTTGATATCCTTGTATTAGGTTAATAAGCAGATAAAAACTTTACAGGTATTTTAAGTCATCTTGTTGCTGTTAAGCAAAACAGAATAGCAACCAAGTGATTAGACACATCTGCTCCCAGTATAGCTACACTGATATAATTAGCTAATAGTAACTTCCACCATAACTGACCATTAACAGACTTCCATAATGAAAAATGAAACAGGATATTTTCCCTCCATTGCTCTCCAAAGACCTCTTCAAAGAGCTTATCAAAGATAGAACAAGCATACTCTAGCAATGGTGTAATACAGCTGTGCCTTACACTTAATCTGAATTTGTCCATAGTCCTTCCACCATGAAGTATTTTCATAGTTTCATAGAAAGATCATGCTCCAGATTATTTTGTGGGCTTTTGCCTAAAACTTTACAGTGAAGAGAAGAAACTGGTGAAAAATGTTTACCATACTCATTTGGGAATAAAGATAGAAAGATTATTTTTTTCCTTAGCTACAGAATAAAATTATATCTTTAAAAAAATCAGAAGTTCTAAAC